TATTTTCTATTCTACCTCAAGTTATTGCATGCATCCACGAGTACGAGTGGCATCAAGTTCAAGAAAGTCCATGTGTCAAAATAAAAGAGTAAAAAAAATACAGTTTTTAACTGCAGATTATGAGATCAATACACAGAAAAGGACCTTACATTATTGATTCTAGATAACATGTACATTATATTTCATGTAGATTCTACTGCTGTGATGGAAAATGGATGTGAAGAATTTTTTCTAAAAAATAAAGTGAAGAAAACAATGCTTTACTGTTTACACGAGTTTGGTTATTTTGTCTATTATGTGTGGCCTAAACAAGGTTCGGTGGGGGTTCGCGTATAAGTTATATTGCAGGCAATGTCATACATGCTGTGGCCTTTTCTTCATATTATTTTTTTTAACGACTTCCCTCATCTACCTAACTTTTCTCCCAGTTTATCAGTGGCATTCACTGGATCTATTGACACCAAATATGACAGGACTTCATTTCTCTTTCTCCCTGAATACATCTACAAAGAGAACAGAGATAGACGAACTTTTAGGAAAGGCTTCATAGATCTATAGGTCTAATAGTCTTGTCAGATTATTACTGGTTACGTTTCTAACGTGAAAGTTTGACTCTGACAGCAATGATCTGACCAAATTGACATTATAATACATGTCATGAAGATGGGACTGGCCATAATGAGTACAATACACTGTAATGACTGTATTGCACCGGGTCAGCTTGTGAACAGAAGCAGAGAGAAAACGACAGGAATCAGTAATTCTAATAACAAAAACACGCCCCTTTCCTCTCTCCCTCTCGTTCTCTCGTTCTCTCTCTCTCTCTCTCTCTCTCTCTCTCTCTCTCTCTCTCTCTCTCTCTCTCTCTCTCTCTGTCTACCTTTCCATCCCCCCCACCCACACCTAAAAGAGAAAACGCAATAGTTCATCGGAGGTCAGACCCCTTCTTAGATAAACTGAAATTGTTTCGAAGTGGGTGTCACATCAGATTCAGATTCAGAGTAAAGCCCCTTTCGTCCCTGCATGCAGCGAATCTAAAACCTGAAAAGTCAATATTGGCTACGACCTGACAGGACATTGCTGTGGGAGCAGTGCACTTCAGTGCGGTGTTGGCTGGGGGATACCTCCCAGCTGTACTGCGGACGTGTTTCGAGTGGTCATCGTGTCAGCATCGCCTCTTGCCAGGGCCAGGAAGGTCGCTCCGGACACTTTCGCTTGACCTTCGTCACTGCATGACGTTGACATGGATGGACAGGGGGGGGGG